ATTATACTCAGAGGCTCTCTCTCTGTCTAATTCACTGTTGGTTAGTATACTATAGAAGTTATTGGAGGTAAATTTAATTTCAAATGGCAGGTTTTCATTTATTACACAGTGGACCTTTCCATTAGTTTCAGAATCTGGGTCATTTACACTCATTAAAGCTATTACTGTTTTATGGGCTGAATCCTCTGGTACGGAGCCTGATGTTGATATCATATTTACAATAGGGCTATTGTCATTCACGTCAATAACATCAATTATTATCTTACTCGAATCTGAGAGTCCACCTTGATCAACAGCCTCTATGTCGATGTGATAATGTTTTTCTCTTTCATAGTCTATTGGACCTTCTAATACCACATCGCCTTGACTGTTAATATGAAATAACTTCGAAACAGAATCCATGCTATTCCCGATGACGTAGGTCACCTCTCCATTTGAGCCTTTGTCTGCATCAGAAGCGCTGACCTTAGTAACGAGTGTTCCTATTGCGGAATTTTCTGTAATGCTTGCTTTGTAAACAGATTTGCTGAAGGCAGGGGCATTGTCGTTAGCATCCAACACAGTCACATGAATTTGCATTGTCCCTGTCATTTGTGGTTCTCCTCCATCCTCCGCTGTTAAAACCAATGATATGTGTTCTTGTTTCTCTCGGTCCAAAGGTTTTTGTAAAATCATCTCTACTTTTTTGCTTCCATCAGACTGAGAATGCAGTTTAAGCACAAAATTGTCACTCGGCTTTAGAGTGTATCTCTGAAGACCATTCCGTTCGATATCAGGGTCAATCGCTTTCTCGAGTAAGAACTTAGAGCCGATGACTGCAGACTCGCTTATTTCAAATCTTCTCTCCTCCTTTTGGAACACTGGAGCGTTGTCATTAATATCGGTAATTTCTACAGTAACTGGGAACAATTCTAATGGGTTCTCTAACGTAATTTGAAAATGCAAAGCGCAAGGCGTTGTCTGTCTGCAGAGCGCTTCGCGGTCTATTTTTTCTTTAATAAGGAGGACTCCTCTTTCTCTGTTCAGTTCTATGTACTGAGCACTGTCTCCCGTGTAAATGCGAGCTTTACCTGACTTAAGACGTTTGACATCTAAACCCAAATCTTGTGCTATGTTACCGACCAAAGAGCCTTTTGCCATTTCCTCTGGAATTGAGTAGCCGACCTGTCCGTTCACAGAACTCAGGCAGAAGATGGAGATTAACAACAGTACTTGCCGTTTCATTGTTCTGTCCGATACCTCCGTTGCACAATAGATACCGTGTGTTATTCCGTTTTAAGGGTAAGATTCGGTCACATGAAAATAAAAAATGGACGAGAAATATGTTTTAATCCCCACATTAGGAAATAAAATTCCGTTTTGAGGTATCTGTTCATAGCAGTCTATGGTCTGATCTCCGAAGTGTCCATTCTACATCTGAGCCTGTACGTCAGAATTATGCCAGAGCGATGACTAGGAGGATCTTTTACAAAAGCAATTTTCAACTGCCACACACTGGGCAACAGCGGCCCGATGAGTTCAAATTGTGAAAGTACATAAGAATAACAGCAATAATGCCATGAGAATTCGAATGCTACATTCAGATTAAGGATAATAAAAGGAGCCTACACATAGCCTGTGCTGCTTGTCAGATTTTTAAAAAATCTGTAGAAAAAAATATGAAAAGGGAGTTATAATAGTGGATAAAAGAGGCTACTACACACAAGGAAAAACATGCAGAAGGAGGGTGAAAGGGGAAAACAATGTGAAGCTGTACTTTCATTGTCGCTGTCCAAGGTGCTGTTGTGTTGCCTAAATGACGCCTTTAAAACACGTGTTAAAGTACATACATACTACAAAAAACATTTTATAGAAATTAAACCACATGACCAACCTCTAGAGGAGAGTCTGGTTCATCCAAAGGATTGCTCTTTATTCTGTATCCGCTGCATCGTTCCTTAGAATCGGGTCCATTTATCAGCACGTTCTGACTACCGAAGCTCTGCCGAACTTACAGTCACTCTTTCTGGAGTAGTCGTCTGCACACCTCGTAATCTGTACAACGTGTTGGAGAGTCCCTGTCCCAAAGGTGTCTGAGGTAACGTGGTGGAATATATATGGAATCACAGGGAGATTGGAGTGATAAAGGATGCGAGACTGTCTCCATCTGTAGATTTTCACTGATATAATACCACTAAACAACGTGAATGAAGAGGAGGAACTACAGCCAAAGCCAACACTAAGTACAAAAGTCAGGTTGTTCATTGTCACTCCCTTGTCGTGTGTAAAGTCAATGAACCTCCGACAGCACTTCAGGGAATGCTGTCTGCACCCGCCAACGTAACAATGCTGTAGCTGCCACGAAGAGGGGTTGGCCGCGTTGTCCTCCAGTATAACAGTTCAGTCTTTGTTTCACTGCATCTTGTATCAGTGACTTGGCGGATAGTTTCTTTTTCTCTCCATTTCTGTAAGCCCACTTCAAACAGCGCCCTGTTCTGTGGCTTTCTGCAGTTTAATAGGAGAGCAGGCATTCTGTCAGAGTCCAATCAACAGCCACCACTTTAGTCCACAGATAGCCTTATTTCATCTTGCTTGTTTCGATGTGCATTTATATTTCAGCACCAGAGAGCAACCCAGTCCTGGCTGGGTACAGACCTGAGGGGGGTTGGTCGTTCTGGTCCTGGATCAGTATTTTCACAGTCACATTGCTACTGAGTTGGAGGAGAGCCTCCATCCTGCGCTTGACGGCGGAAGTGGAAATCTTTATTTTCTGTAGTCAAAAAGAGGCGCACTGCATGGATGACTCCGGTATTCACGCTCACTAACCGACATATGAGGAGACCTGGGCCTCCGTTAACAGAGGAGTTCCTCCAGTATGTTAGGAACAACGGGCATGTCCTGGTTTCCAGTCAGCATCTTTGCTTTCAAAGGTGCAATATTAAGAGGCCTGGTGTGGTTGGTTTTTCTACTATGTAGGCCTCATATGAGCCTCCTCTCAAAGACAGGCGCTTGTTCATTCACATCAGAGATCGCTTAAGGTGGAGAGTGATCGCTGCTGGAGAGGGAGGAGGACTCCCTATGCAGAGCAAGGTCACTGTTATATTATACTGGGACGCGGTGCCTCTTCTATCCAAAGCTACTTTCTGTACTAAACTATAGAAATTCCATTCATTGTGTTTTTGTATTTTAACGAAAGGAAATGCTCATCATTAATATACACTTCAGCCTCGCCATTCCTTTCAGAGTCAGGGTCTTTACAACTTAGCATAGTGCAACTTTACAGTATTGTCAGGAGAGTCCTCTAAATGCTTATCTGATTTAAGAGAGTAATCCTTATATGAGGGCTGTTGTCAATTGAACATCATGATATCAAATTAGGATCTTACTGGAATCACGACAGTCACAATTATCGATAGCTCTCGATATCTATTTGGAAGAGCTTAGCTTTCGATAATCTATTTCACCGATTAAGATAACCTCTCAGTTTTTGCTATGATCTGAAACAGATCGGATAAACGACGCTTGCTTACTTTGAAATTGCGTAATGATATTTCTGTTGGCTTTAAGAGCCTCAGTCTTTTGTCAGATCACTAACCGTAATAACCTGGTTCCCTTGGGGAATTCTCGGTTAATGTTGCCTTGTCATACTGACTTAGCTGAAAACCGGTGCGTTGTCGTTTGCATCTAACAAGTTAACAGTTATCTGCATTGTCCCGATCATACGTCGGCTGTCCGCCATCTAGAGCAGTTTAATTAGTAGTGATATTTGTTCCTGGTGCTCTCGATCTAGTGGTTTCTGTTAAACACCCATTTCTACCTTTTTACTCTCCCGTCTGCTTGATTTACTCTAGTTTCAATTGCAAAGGTTTGCTTGTTGGATTAAGCGAATCGCATTTGGAGACCATTTGCCACCAATGTGCTGCTCGATGGCTTTCTCAGGTACAAATTTAAGGACCCAATACAGCTGTACCTCGCTTGATCTCAAAACGTTTCTCGCTTGAATGCAATAGCTGGGAGCGTTGTCGTTTTAATGTCTGTGATTTTCTATTGTTATGCGAAACAGTTCCATTTTTGGATTTTTCAAGAATCATCTGTAAATGTAAAGCACAGTGGCGTCGTTTCTCCCACAGCGTCTCTCGGTCTAATTCTCTCTTTGATACCGGAGTGACTTACCCCCTTTTCTCGTATTCAGCCTCGATGTATTCTGGCACTGTCCTCCCGAATGAAATACGAGCTCTAACCAGATTTGAGCCTTTTTAAAATTCTACACCTAAATCTTGAGCGCGATTGCACACTAATGAAGTTTTCTTTCTCTCTCATTTCGCTCAGGAATGGAGTAACCTGACCTGCCGAACACGAACTACAGAGAGAGCGAAAGATTTGAACAAACGTACTTGCCGTCTCATCATTTGTGGGGTATTTCCTGTGTCCGTTTTGATAAAACTGCAATCCATCATGAATATCGCTTAAAAATTCCGTTCGTATCTGCAGTAATTATCAAACATATAGCAGCTTCCTGTCGTGAGCAGTTTTTTAATTTAGCACAAGGGCAGGGCGGTTGGTGCCTGTTTTATTGTCTGCAATGTCACATCTAAAGGGGAGGTACAGTCACACAGCCCTATCGAAGACTGCCACAATCTGGCCAATAGCGGTCCTTTCTGGTTCAATCAAGACCAAACAGCTCAATAGATGGGGTAAGGGAGACGAGAATGTAGATGATTTAGAAAATTGAGCTGAACATTATTATTTATTATTTATTTATTATTATTATTATTATTAACTATGTGTAGTAGTAGAGTTACAGTAGCTTGACAGTATTTTCGCTAGTTGTTCAGTAAGATTCTTGGTTTACATCTGTGATAGTACTGTTAATCACTAGACTATCCTTATGGTTTTATAAGTTCAATTAAATTTAAATATTAATAAATACGAGGAGAGGCTAAAAACAATAAAATTTCTTATGGCTATTGGTCATGTGTAGCTCTTTTGGTCTACCGATATAATAATTAATATACTGTGTGTATTGGTATTACTAAGTAAAAAAATTAAATAGGAAGAATGTATCTTTATGTGGTGATGAGTAGTCATAATTTATGTAAACGGAATGCTGTCTCATTGGTATTTGGAAATGCGGTATGGCGCGCCAAAAGTTCGCGCATGATTAACTGACACATGGATAAGAATTATATACGGCAAAGAGAGCAGGCCACAATTAATCTGACTCTATCGGAGAGTCTGGTTCATCAGGATGCTCTTTTCATTTCTGTATCTGCTGCATCGGTTCCTGTTCGAATGGGGCTATTATCAGCACGTTATGCATCTACAGCTCTCCGCAACTTACAGTCCTCTTTTTTGGCGTCAGTTCGTCCTGTTCTTTCATCCTCGTAATTGTAGTTCACGTTGCTGTTTGCGTAGTCCTGTCCCAAAGTGTCTGAGTAACGGTGGGTGGGAATAATATGGAATCAGCATGGGAGATTGGAGTGATACAGGATGCGAGACTGTCTCCATCTGTAGATTTTCACTGATCATAATAACCCCTAAACACGTGATGAAGAGGAAGGAAACTACAACGCAGAGCAAGACTACAGTAAAAGTCAGGTTTGTCATTGTATCTTGTCGTGTGTAAAGTCAGTGAATTCCGACAGCACTTACAGGGAGCTGTCCGCCACATGCCAGTTAACAATGACTGTAAAGCTGAACGAGAGGTGCTGCCCGTCTGTCCTCCACTATAAAACAGTAGTCTTTGTTTTGCATCTGCATCTTTATCAGTGACTTGGCGGATAGTTCTTATTTCTCCATTCTGTAAGCCCACTATCAAAACACGCCCTGTCAGTGGCTTTCTGCAGTTTAACTAGGAGAGCCAGGCAATTCTGTCCAGAGGTCCCACATCAACAGCACACCAAACTTTAGTCACCAGATTAGCCCCATCTGCTGAACGAGGCACCATTTTTCAGCTCACCAGAGAGCACCAGTCTGCGACTGGATATCATGAACCTGAGGTATTGTTTGTTGTCGTTCTGGTCCTGGCAATCAGTATTTTTCACAGTCCAATTGCACTAGAGTGGAGGAGAGCTCCATCGTGCGTTTGACGCGGAAGTGGAATCTTTGATCTGCTCGTAGTCAAAAGTAGCGGCACTGCATGGATGACTCACTATCAAGCACTTACGGACACATTGAGGAGACTGGCACTCCGTTAACAGAGGAGTCCTCAGTATGTAGGAAAACGGGCCATTCTGGTTCCAGTC